CTTGTCATGTATTTAGTTTTTTCTTCGTTTATTCTGAGGCCTGTTTGCTTTGTAGCTTGCTCTAGTTGTATGAAAACGCTTTGAAGAATTACCTTGTTTCTTGCAATAATGACGATATCGTCAGCATAGGCGCATATTTGTGTAGATTTATAAAATATTATACCACCTTGATCTATTTCGTTGATAGCTGCATGTAGAGTCAGATTGAATAGGAGCGTCGATAGAGAATCACCTTGACGTCGTGATTCCAAATTTATCTGAAAGTTCACCATTCAGGATTATTTTAGCGTTTGTATGCATTAGAGTCATATGAATTAAGTTAATGTATTTTTGCGATACTATGATAATTAGAGGCCTTTTCCATACTATAACAATAACTTATAATTTTATAATATATAATAATAATATATTTTATTGCCACTTCATTGTAGAGTAGATGTTGTTAATTTCCCTTTGAACTGCAGTAACCTAAGTCAAAGGTGATGTTTAAATACGTGAACTTTTAAGTACTACTAAACTATATACTAATCTATAACATCCATATATATTGTATATCAAATTGAAACTATTATTTTAACCTTGATATTTCTTGCTACCATGAACCCACAAAGTTTTAACCATGAACTCCAATAAAACATATGTTATTTATACATAAAGTTATGTTTTAATATTTGCGCAGTTATTTTTAATTTAATTTTTGTAATAAAAATTTAAAACTCTTTGCAAAATTCAATATATCATAAAATAAACATTTTGCTCATTCCAATCAACAATATAAACAATAAATATTTCTTGAGGACTTCGAAATGTTCAACTGTGAGATTTATGTAAATTTTATACTGATGTCAATTTAGGTTTAACTATTGTCACTTGTCATTTACTTCAAGTGGAGTGCATTCGTTGCGCAAAGTACTTGTATCTTACGAATGTCGAAAACATTTTTCTTTTAATAACCGACGTTAGTTCTTTAGCTTATACGGGTATTTATATACAATAATAAAATCTGTGTTGATGTAAACATTCTGTATTTTTATGCGACAGTGGACACAACAATTCAACAGTCAATCAGCTGTTGAGCGTTAAATTATTGTTTATTTAAAATCCATCACTGAAATAGGCAAATCTTTGAAATTCAAGCTGCACTCTCTCCGTACAGCAACACAAAAGTCTTCCATATTCGATATTTGCATTTGAACA